ACCTCCATTCACTTGGCAGTGGCTTTATTGCAAGTCTTTGCAGCTAACATACTTTATTGCTTTAGAATTTATCATAGAACCCACAGGGATAATTTGTTACAAAAGTATAATTATTGTATTATCACTAAAATAGTTTGCTTTCCCCTTCAAATTGCCTCGCCTCCTATTTAATAATACACTTTTTAAAAAAATTATGTTGAGAAGAAATTAAAATAGAACATAATGGAATGAGAACTGCTAAAAATACAAGACTGGAATATTGAAAATGCAGCTAAAACAGAAATGGCTAAGTGTAGAATCAGCAGGTAACCAAAAGGGGTAATTTGGAACCAGGGAGAATATTGAGTTATTAGATGAGTTTGAAAAGACAAGTAAGAATAAAAACTCTGTCCTGGCCTTTAAAAAAAATATAATCAATAGTTAAGGTATTGAATATGTGAAAACATATGTCCAGAACTGTCCATAAGTCTTGGATAGACAGTTAACCAACATGCAGCAAAGCACAGACGTTGGATAAGTGGCAACATTCTCCATTCTACCTGTCAAATCCCCATCAATACTTATATCTAGAACACTGTGGCCTCCAGGATCTATTTCTAATGCAGGTATGTCTTGGAGCATCAACTCCAGAAGCTGCTATAGTGATTACTTTTGTATGATATTAACAGCCAACGTGTTTTGAGTACTTGATTTATAACAGGCATTTGTGTGGGGTTTTTTTGGAAATTGTAAAAACATATTTTATTTAACCAAATATATCCAAAATATTATTAGTTTAACATATGATTAATATAAAATTATTAATAATGTATTTTACATTTTTTTCCAACTAAATCTTCGAAATCCAATGTGAGTGTGACATCACATCTCAGTGTTGACCAGCCTCATTTCAAGTGGGCAACAGCACAGTGTTGAACAGTGTCTTAGTGGTTACCAGCAGGAGATAGTCCCCTGCCCAACTACCTAAAACAGCCCAGCTGCTCATCTACCACGTTATCTATTTTGTCTTCTTTGCAGCCCTCACCAATACCTCAAATTTTATTATTTGCTTGCGTGGTTTTGTCCCTTTAAGACAAGGACTCACCTTGAACAGCGCCCAGCACAGGGTAGGCGCTCAATATACACTGTCTCTGTCTGAATCCGTGTCCAGGGATGGAGGGCGGGCCCCCGGGCCCCCTTCACCCTCGCCTGGAGCTGCTCCTCTGCCCACCTGGGCCACCCCTCACCCTTCCTTCTCCAGGGCCATCCCCAGAGTGTGGGTGTGCCTGGGAGGACTCTGCCCCGCCTGGGATTTCCATGTACCCTGCAGGGACCACAGCTACAGACCATGGAAGGCCCCACGTGAGCTCCTCCCTCGGAGCTGCAGCTCCAGGACCTGCACCGGCACGTGGAGCTCTCGGTGGCAGAGCTCTGCACTTGAGGCAGGGAGCCCTCCACTGCTTCCCCACAGGTTCTGCCTGAAGTTCTTTATGGTATTAATTCATTGAATCTCCCCAGTGACTCCAGGGATAGTACTATTAGGATGCTTATTCTATAGTCAAAGGAACTGAGGCATGGTTTACAGTTAAAAGTAACTTGCCTAAGGTTACAGACTGTTGGGGAAACATAGTTAAAGTGAAATCTGCCAACCCAGAAAACCTCTCCATAGAGAGAAGAGAAAGAAAACAGTTTTATTATCAAATAAGCATCAAACCAGAATGTGATGCACATCACAGACAATCCACTAAGAGATTGATTGCAAAGACAGAAGGAAGACTTACTTTTTTTTCTGGAGCCAAACAGATGCAACCCTTGACATATATGTTCTCAAGATAAACAGTAACTAGTTCTCAACTCAGAGGGCTGGACGGCACCTTTTGTGACACATAATTCATCTTAGCTGTACCTGGTAATTGGGATGACCATCCATGTTAGCTAATTGGTTTTATTCAGAGGAAACACAAACCTCTTGTGGCTTTATGACAGGAGGAGTTCTGCAACTTGGAGCAAGGTGACTACATAAGTGAGGCTTGCACTTTCCACAGAAATTAGGAGATAGTGGCGCTATCTCTTAATGTTTGCATTTCAAAGAGATGGCTCCCATGTCCTTCAGAAAGGATTACTGGGTCATAAAGCAGACATAAAGCCTATCTACTTTTCAAAAGGATTTTATACATTTCAAAGCGAGGAGAAAGTACTTCTGATTAAAAGTTTTCCAAAGTAAATGTTTTAAGAAGAAGGAGGGGATGGAAATTTCTTATTTTTAACACAGGCTCCCGACGCGCAGGCTCAGCAGCCGTGGTTCACGGGCCCAGCCCCTCCGCGGCATGTGGGATCTTCCCGGACTGGGGCACAAACCCGCGTCCCCTGCATTGGCAGGCGGACCCCCAACCACTGCACCACCAGGGAAGCCCCCAAAACATTTTTGAACTGTTTTTAACATCTTTCTAGTTCATTTACCAATTAATGAGTTAAAGAAAATATTTGACATGTATTCATTCTTTATTTGTCTAAGAGTCATAATTCTACCTTTTTGAAAATTATAATTTAGCAAGTGTGGTGCAAGGTTGAAACCGTGCACCTCAGATTGGGACTTGAACCCACTCGGTTGGGACTCGAACCCGGCCAAAACCCACAGCCTTCCAACTGAGATCACACACCTGGTTTTATGACCTAATGAAGTCCAGGTTTTTGATGTCTCATTGCAGAAACACTTCAGTGAGAAACAAAGTGATATGTAAGAAGTGGATTTATTTAGAGAGAAACACACTCCACAGACAGAGTGTGCGCCATCTCAGAAGGTGAGAAAAGGCACAAGGGTGTGGCGTTGTCAGTTTTTATAGTGGTGGGTAATTTCATAGGCTAATGAGTGGGAGGAGTATTCCAGCTATTTCAGGAAGGGGCGGGGATTTCCAAGAATTGGACCACCACCCACTTTTTGATCCTTATGGTCGCCTTAGAACTGTCAAGGCGCCTGTGGGTGTGTCATTTAGCTTGCTGATGTGTTACAGTGAGTGTATACTGAGGCTCAAGGTCTAGTGGAAGTTGGCTTGTCCACCATGTTGGACCCATTTGGTTCTAATCCATTTATGTCATGTCCTCGGGCTATGTCACTCTTTTAAATGTTGTGCCCTGCCCCCTTCCTTCCTGCTTCAAGGTCTGATATCCAAGGCAAGGGCTCTTCCTGGTTTGACAATAAAATCAAATCTGTTGAAACCGCACAACTCAGATGGGTCTTGAACCCAGCAAAAACTCATATTGGGGCTTGAACCCACTGTCTTTTAATTAAAATCGCACACCTGGTCTCAGTACTTAATGAAGCTTAGGTTATGTCTCCGCGCAGAAGGAATTCAGTGAGAGGCAAAGTGATAGGTGTGAAATGGATTTATTTAAAGATACACATTCCACAGACAGATTGTGGTTTGTCTCAAAAGGCAAGAGTGGCCCTGAGGGAAACACTCCACAAACAGAGTGTGGACCATCTCAGAAGGCAAGAGGCCCCAAAATATGGGATGGTTAGTTTTTATGGGCTGGGTAATTTCATAGGTTAATGAGTGGGAGGATTATTCCAACTATTTTGGAGAAGGGGTGGAGAGTTCCAGGAATTGGGCCACCACCCACATTTTGGCCTTGTATGGTAGGCCTCAGAACTGTCCTGGTGGGGGGGGGTGTCATTTAGCTTATGCTAAAGTGTTACAATGAGCTTATAATGAGGCTCAGGGTCTACTGGAAGTCAAATCTTTTGCCATCTTGGGCCTAATCGGTTCTAACCAGTTCTGTCGTGTCCTCAACAGTTATGTCATTCTTTTAAATGTTGTGCCCTGCCCACTACTCTCCTGTTTCACTGTGACCATATTCCCATTATACTACTTGTAAGGTCGGGTCTTAACAAACGGCACCGCGAAACAGAGGAAAGCTTATTAGGGAGCGCTCCCGGGCGAGGTTCACTGGTCCGAGAGAAAGGGGCCAGAGAAGTCGCACCCGGGCGAGGGTTGGGCAAGATTTTATAGGGGAAGAAGGGAAAGGGGTGTGGTGAATGTGGGAGGGCGCAGGGTATTCCTTATTTGGTGGTCTTTTCGGGTATCCTGGGGAACCGTTAGTCCCGCCCCCTCGAAAGGCGGGAAGGCTGGGCTGGGTTCAAAGTCCCCAGGTCAGTTCCTGGAACTGGGTGGTTCGGAATATCTCCAGGGCAGTTTCTGGAACTGGGTGGTCCAGAGAATTTTGGTCTGATGCAACCTGTGAATCTGATTGTGTTCCCCTGCCTCGGGCCAGTTGGCCTTACACTACTCTGTATGGATGTCACATGAAATGCTCATCAATCCTTTAAACTCTCACCCCAAAAATCCTACTCCAAGAACTTTTATTTGGCTTACTAATCCTAAAGAAACTCTAAAGTTAACAAGATTCAAAGGGGGGAAAAAAATAAACCAGAAAGAAAAAATAAGCCATACAAAAAATGTGGAGCAGGCATAGAGAAAGCGCTTTAAACCTCCATAAATTCCAGTCAAATTTTAGCCAGCTCTGAGAAAAATTAGTATTAGGCTCACATCCTTTATTTCTCTTACTCTCCAGTCAACCTCTCTTTCAAATTTTTAATACAAATCAGCACACTCCCTGCCCTCCCCATCTCCTCTTAGTTAATTCTTCTGAAACGGGAGGGAAGGATGCAAGGCACAACCTTTGAAAGAATGACATAGCCCGAGGACATGACATAAACTAATTAGAATCAAATGGGTCCAAGATGGCGGACAAGTCGACTTCCGCTAGACCTTGAGCCTCAGTATACGCTCACGTCAGCAACCTAAATGACACATCCACAGGCTCCATGATAGTTCCATAAGGATCAAAAAGTGGGTGTTGGCCCAATTCCTGGAAATCCCCACCCCTTCCTAAAATAGCTGGAATACTCCTCCCACTCTTTAGCCTATGAAATTACCCACCACTATAAAAACTGACAACGCCACACCCTTCTGCCTTTTCTCACCTTCTGAGATGGCGCACACTCTGTGGAGTGTGTTTCTCTCTAAATAAATCCACTTCTTACCTATCACTTTGTCTCTCACTGAATTCTGTCTGTGATGAGACATCAAGAACCTGAGCTTCATTAAGTCCTAAAACCAGATGTGTGATCTCAGTTGGAAGACTGTGGGTTTTGGCTGGGTTCGAGTCCTGGCACGTGGGTTCAAGTCCCAGTCTGAGGTGCACGGTTTCAGCTGGCAACCACGAAGGGACAGTGATAAGGTAAGAAAATGTTGAGAGTTAGGTCTTGGTCCTAAAGAGGCCCGTGGGATGCCATGAGCCAGGCATACTGGGGAAGACGCTCTGCCGATGTCTGCTCATTTTTGACCAGCGGGTCAACCCCGTATACTTAACGCACATCCAACAGTAAGTCCAGGACGGAATTATTAATATCTATACTCTTCTCTTTGACTCTGAGGTTTTTCTCCTACATTCTTGTATTCTTGTTCATTCCTGCTCTATTTCTTTCTTCTATTAACCCCAGAAGACCTGTGTGACTACCAAGGTGTACTTTTTTTTTTTTTTTTTTGCGGTTCGCGGGCCTCTCACTGTTGTGGCCTCTCCCGCTGTGGAGCACAGGCTCCGGACGCGCAGGCTCAGCGGCCATGGCTCATGGGCCCAGCCGACCCGCGGCATGTGGGATCCTCCCGGACCGGGGCACGAACCCGTGTCCCCTGCATCGGCAGGCAGACTCCCAACCACTGCGCCACCAGGGAAGCCCCCAAGGTGTACTTTTTATTGCTTTTACTCCCCTTCCTCTGACCCTTACAAGTGCTGACCCTTTATTCCCAGCTTATAGCTAGACCAACTCCAGCTCATCATCAACACCATTAGGGATGTCTTCTGTGCCATTTCTTTGCAACTTTTGGGGCGCTAAAACCTGGTTGGGAGACTACCTTGGAAGGGATAGCATCTAAAATCGTAAGTGCAAATCTTGACTAAATTGCACGGTGGATTTTGAATTAAGAGTAGAACTTTTGATAGCCCGGGAGTTAGAGATGTCACCTCAGGCTTGTCTGAAATGGGTCAGGCTGCATCAATCCCAACCAATACCCTTCTGGGCCATATACACCAGGGTTGGGAAAGATTTGGACAACAAGAATTAAAAGGAAAGAACTTAGTAGGTTATGTAATCAGGTTTGGCCACAATATGAGTTAGGAAATTTAAAATGGAGTTAAGTACCTTATGTTCAAATTTTCGTGGCCTTCTATCTAGACAATGGAACCCAAAAGGAATTTAAGGCATGTGTAGTTCGGGAGAGATAACTCTGAAAAGGACACAGCAGACATTAACTGACCCACCCTACAGGGCCATGGATCCCAAACGAATGTGGATCCCTCCTCCCCCAAGGTACAGGCCCTTTTGGCTTTGCATTTCATAGCCCGGTCTGCCCCAGATTTCAGGTGCAAAATTCAGAAAGCAACTGCTAGTCCTCAGAGTCCAATGAATGATTTGTTCCAACTGGCTTATTTGGTTTGCAGTAATAGGGATATGACGAAAAAGGCTGAACACACCCAGAGAAATATGCAGAATGGCCAAATGATTGCAGTGTCTGTGTCCGCTCAGAGACGACCCAAATGCCAGCTTTTCTGGGCCAATCTGGCCCTGGCAGACCACAAGGCCCATGGTTACCCATACAAGGCTAGTGGACCCTGTGTGGACAAAAGGGGCACTGGTGGGAGGATTGTGATCCATGTGTCCTTTGCAAACAGCCAGGTCACTGGAAGAGGGAATGCCCCATATGCCAGAGAGCAATGCCGGCCCCTCGGCCATTGATGGTTTTGCAATCAGAAGACTGAAGGGACCCAAGGCCTAGAGATACCATCTACATAACTAATGTTGAGCCTCGGGTGGTCATTGATGTGGCAAATCAATGTGATAGAGTTTCTTATAGACACTGGTGCAACCTTCTCGGTCTTCACCCAAAGGATTGGAAACCTTAGCAATCATAAGGAATATGTAATGGGATTGTCAGGGAAGAGACATGGGCACACATTCCTGGAATCCCTTTTGTGCAAGGTCAATGGCTAGCTGTTTTTACATTCCTTCCTGGTTGTGCCTGACTGTCCCATCCCTTTAATGGGAAGTGATTTATTAACTAAGTTAGGGGCCACTCTGTTTCTCGAGGGGCAGCGGAACCACTCTCATCACCAAATGGTTCTAACAAAAAGCAAAAAGGAACAGATAAAATCTGAAGCTAAAATAGAAGCCTTAGTAGACCCTGGAATGTGGAATATCGAGGTTCCGGGCTTGGCCAAAGATATCCAGCCGGTGATTATTAAATAAAAAGGATTATATAGTGTCTAAATGTAAGGTACAAATTTCTTAAACCTAGGGAAGATCCTTAAAAATGTTTGTAAGTAGATTATCAAAATAGGAGATCACTGGTCTGCCTAAACTGACCATAGCTGATATTCAGAGCCTGATAGGAATTTTGGAAGAGGCCTTCTCCCCTAAGCTAAATGAGGAAAAGTAAAACTTTCCAACATAGGTGAATGAGTGTGTCAGTCCTTCAATATCATTGAGGTAACCACCCAATTCTTTGAAAAAGAAAACAAAACTGTCCTTGTTTTACAAATGTAGTCTATATAGGACCAGAGGTGTGGCTCCAAAAATAATCCAAAACCCACCAATCCTTCTAGGCTCCCCAAACCTTCCCTATTTATCTTAAGAGCCTTGTAAATATTAAACAAAGGGGAAACAGAGTCATCCTAGGAGGAACTTGCCTGTAACTTTGAGATGCAAATGTCCTATCTGGTCTTCTCAGGAACGCATATCTCTGCCATCTTTTTAAATGCAAATTTTAAAGTAAATTTAGAACTTGACTTGTCAAGGATAAATAGAAATCTTAAGTATCCTTTCTGTAAAAACTAGTAAAAAGGGTTTAGCCATCTAGGTAGGTGACCTTGATTTGTTCCATCTCCTAGAAGCCCAATTTGAATCCAACCCCTTGTAAATGATAGCTTTCATGTTGTACCTGACTCAGGGCTGAATTTTGGGATGGGAACTGTGTGGCCTCTGTGTTTGTTTGTGTGTTCATATGTATCTATATGTGCGTTGTAGTTGTATGGTATTGCCAAAAATTATTTTGTAAAAGAGTTCTACTTAATTGGCTTTTAAAAATTTAAGCGCTTATATAAATACTCAGAAATAAAAAGCAATCTGGCCAGAATGAATTTCAGGTTCATGTCATCTGGAAAATATTCAGTACTAAACTGATATCTGGTATTGAACGTGGCTTAAGCTTGTTGGTTTGATTAATATGGACATGTTAGAGTCATCCATGTTAAGTATAATACTTCTGTTGTACCTAGGTTTATCAGAGGTCAAATAAGACCTTATTCTGTTACAAATTTGTCAACAAGAAAAGTAACACAGTGTGAAAAAAACTTTTTTTTTTTTGGTGTTAGGGAATTCCTTTTTTTTTTTACATCTTTATTGGAGTATAATTGCTTTACAATGGTGTGTTAGTTTCTGCTCTATAACAAAGTGAATCAGTTATACATATATATATATGTTCCCATATCTCTTCCCTCTTGCGTCTCCCTCCCTCCCACCCTCCCTATCCCACCCCTCCAGGCGGTCACAAAGCACCGAGCTGATCTCCCTGTGCTATGTGGCTGCTTCCCACTAGCTATCTACCTTACGTTTGGTGGTGTATATATGAAAAAAACTTTTAAGAGAAGTACAATATGTGTTTTTAGTAAAAAAAAAAAAAAGGTGTGAAGAATGAAAAATACTGAAAAGAGTTATGCATGATCAGGATTTTCTAAGACTGGATTGAATTTAGTTGGGTAAATGGATTTTGTTTGGAATGGGCTAGAACGAGACTGGATTTGGTTTCTCCCTCCAGAGTATTATTGAAATGCTGCTTTTGACAACAGATTTTCTTTGCCTTTAAATGACTTGTATTTGCTTTTGGTTAACTTTGGTTAAGGAATAAGTATTGTCTCATGGTAACCTATGATCTTATTTGACCAAGTGTTTCAAACTTTTTTGACAAACTTTGCAAATATCAAATTTCAATTAAGTTTCTTTTGATTTCCAGCTAACTTTGGGGTACTTTAGAGGTCCCCTGAGGTACCTTAAAGAGAAATATTAAACTAGGATTATTTGGTGTGTTCAATGTAATCATTCGTAATTGTGGTTATTGTAACCAAGTTTCTTTATCGATTACACTGTAATCAGATGTTTAACCATGCCTTTTAAGTCTTTTGTCATTTATGGATATTTTTGTACTCTGATGCTGTTATAAAAAGTGCTTCATCTTCAGAGAGATTCATAGAAAGGCAATGGAAACAATTACAACAGTTCTACAACAAGATGATGGCTATGCGAGGATTCCAGCCCATACTGACTTAAAACAGGGATCTGCCCTGCCCCTGGGGCCCCTAGATCAGGCATCCAGAGATTTTTACTCCCTGACAGGCAGGGTCGACTCCCCTACTCAGCCTTGAAGCAGTTACAGAAGACAGACCATCACCCTTCTGCTTCCCATAACAATATGGGAGTAAAATCTCTGAGGGGTAATGAAACAGGAGGGAGAGAGGCAGGGCACAACCTCTGAAAGAATGACATAGTCCGAGGACATGACATAAACTAATTAGAATCAAATGGGTCCAAGATGGCGGACAAGTCGACTTCCGCTAGACCTTGAGCCTCAGTGTATGCTCACGTCAGCAACCTAAATGACACACCCACAGGCTCCATGACAGTTCCATAAGGATCAAAAAGTGGGTGGTGGCCCAATTCCTGGAAATCCCCACCCCTTCCTAAAATAGCTGGAATACTCCTCCCACTCATTAGCCTATGAAATTACCCACCACTATAAAAACTGACAACCCCACACCCTTGTGCCTTTTCTCACCTTCTGAGATGGCCCAAACTCTGTCTGTGGAGGGTGTTTCTCTCTAAATGAATCCTCTTCTTACCTATCACTAATTCTGTCTGTGATGAGACATCAAGAACCTGAGTTTCATTAAGTCTTGAAACCAGGTGTGTGATCTCAGTTGGAAGACTGTGGATTTGGGCTGGGTTTAAGTCCCGGCTGTGTGGATTCAAGTCCCCAGTCTGGGTTTTGGCCGGGTTCAAGTCCCAGCCTTGTGGGTTCAAGTTTCAATCTGAGGTGTGTGGTTTCACTTCCACTCCTCTCCCTCACACTTTGCTTTTCTCTGGTATACTCCATTCCTAGGTACATATCAGTGTATTGGCTGGAACTCTCCAAATTGTACCTCTACTCTCTCTAGGAAGAGCTATTCTTAGGGCTATAATCTGGAGCTCATTGTTGTGTGGGTTGTGGCAGGGGTTTTGTTTGTTTGTTTTTGGCTTTTTTCTCTTGTTAGGAAAGACTAGTCTATTGTGTGAGTCCATATTTGATGGCTAACTCCACCTATTCAGGTTGATGTGAGGGGGTAGGCATTTGCCTCTTACTAAATGGAAAAGTGCCATGTTGGCCTCCCTGTGCTATCCTAATTCCTAGCATTGAAATCAATTCTTTTTTTGTTTTTTGTTGTTTTTTTTTTTTTGCGGTACGCGGGCCTCTCACTGCTGTGGCCCCTCCCGCCACGGAGCACAGGCTCCGGAAGCGCAGGCTCAGCGGCCATGGCTCACGGGCCCAGCCACTCCGCGGCATGTGGGATCTTCCCAGACCGGGGCACGAACCCGTGTACCCTGCATCGGCAGGCGGACTCTCAACCACTGCGCCACCAGGGAAGCCCAACTCAATTCTATTTTTAAAACGTAATCCTGTTTTAAATAAAATGGATTCCACTTTGGACACACTTTAGTGTAAATTCATTGATTAATAACAAGCCCCAGTTACTTTCGTGAGGTCACAGGGCTTTGTTTCTGACTCTACACAAGTCCTCCACACAAGGCAATCATCACGACTCTTGTTCCCTTCACTAATTTTCAGTGGGGACCAGCAGTAGAAGCCAGGGATACCCCTCCCCCAGCATGCACATGGAAACACATCTTTTGGGGTGTGTGTGTGTGATGGATGTGATTCAAAAAACTGCTGTCTCCCCAATCCGATATGCCTTGCCAGAAAGTGAATCCCACTCTTAAGAATTTCTAATCTATGAGAATAAAACCTGAGAGAGGAGCATATAAAATTGAGGAGGTGGGAGGGACTTCCCTGGTGGTCCAGTGGTAAAGAATCCACCTTACAATGCAGGGGATGCGGGTTCAACCTCTGGTCAGGGAACTAAGATCCCACATGCTGTGGGGCAACTAAGCCCATGCACAACAACTAGAGAGAGAAAACCCACATGCCACGACTAGAGAGAAGCCCAAGCGTCGCAACGAAAAATCCCACATGCCACACCTAAGACCCAACGCAGCCAAAAGTAAATTAAATGAATAAATAATAAATAAATCTTTTTTAAAAAAAGAATTGAGGGGGTGGGAAAGGTGAGAAGAGAGGGAAAGGGTATAAAGATGGAGTGTTGCTCAGAGAGGTTAAGCCTGGACAGGACATCAAAACGAGGGGCCTCGATGGACACCGGAACCTGGGAGGGGGAGATGCATGTGGAAGAAGGCCTGCCGAGCACCCAATACATATTTAGCCCACTTTACACTTTTAGCCAGGGCCAGGTTCATCCACTCTCAGGAGAGACTCAGCCTGGGGAAGAGCAGTTCTGTGAATTTACATGGGAAAATAATCGGTATCTCCCTGCATCTGAAAGTTTTCCCGAAAAGGAGAGTCTGTAGCCTTCACAGCATGCCAAAGGGATCAGTGACTCAAAAAATAGTTTAAGAACCTGAGTCTCAGCCATTTTCTCATTACCGTGTTCCTTCTCATTACTATGCTCTTGCAATGCCATTTTCTTTTCTTATCAACCTCCTCTCTAAAAACGTTTCCAATTTATTCTTTTGAGAAAACTTTATATCTTTGTGGATGTCTGATACTGTCCTTAGATGAACTTCTTATGAAATCTGTCCTGGTTTGTGGGGACTTGGAAAGAATGGGCTACCTGGTGAAAAATATTCACAGACTAAGGTGCAGCTAAGGACAAGAGCCCTACTTCAGTTTAGAGCACGGTGGAGGACTTGTTGACAGTATCGATGGTACATTTAAAATCTGCAAAATATTTTACTAACACATCCACCAGGTTTTTCCCAAATGCCAAAGAAGAAAGGAAAAGAACAGACAAAATACCTTTAACAGGAAGACATTACAAACACGATGGTGTTCAGCTCTGCTGCCATGTATCTCAGGCTGTTCAATACTAACCTCAATTCATCTTCTCCCAGGAAGGAGTGTTTGCAAATTGCATCAAAATGATTCCAGACTATCAGGCAGGCTGGTTGGCCTGGACTCCTGGAAGCAGATAAAGAAGCTCTCATTTGTAATGTCATGTTGGTTTCTTATTATTTAGTATGTCAGCCAAGGGGGGAAAATGCCCAGATATTTCTGCTCACAGCAGTATGTGATCACATCTCTTCTTGTAGGAAGGATTTTAAGGGCTTCCCTGGTGGCGCAGTGATTGAGAGTCCGCCTGCCGATGCAGGGGACACAGGTTCGTGCCCCGGTCCAGGAAGATCCCACATGCCGCAGAGCGGCTGGGCCCGTGAGCCATGGCCGCTGAGCCTGGGCGTCCGGAGCCTATGCTCCGCAACGGGAGAGGCCACAACAGTGAGAGGCCCGCGTACCGCAAAAAAAAAAAAAAAAAAAAGGATTTTAAGAGGGAGATGATTACCTTGAAGTGCTTGATTGTAAGAAATAGGTGCATATCTGTCATTGGTAGCTCATAACAGAGTTTTTGGTTAACTTTCTGCTGCAGATGTTTTTAAGCATTCTGCTCCACATTATTCCAGCTGTGTAGTTTCAGATTTTAATGGAAACAACACAGTTCAAAACACATTCAAAGTATCTTAGTGATTAGAGAGCAACTTTAAATTCTGTTTACCTAAGCATTTTAGAAATGCTAGAAAAAAAGTAATTATTCTCTGAAAGACTGTTTCACACTCTGTCAAGAATATTCAAGAGGAAAGAACACAGTTTCTTTCCGTTTCTAAACAATCAAATAATAACTGTTCACTTACTTTGTTATCTAATATATATATGTGTATATATATATAGTATTATACAAAAGTATACATAAGGCTAAAAAATGTCAATGCAAAATGCTTTTAGATATATCTACCATTTTTCATATTTTCTTAAACCTTTTCATATTTAATTAACAATGTATGTCATCAGACATAAATCTTGCTTGTGAATATAACAAATCTCCATTATTTAGGTTCTTTAGCCTGTTGATATCTTTGCTTTATTTATTGACAGGTTGCTACAATTTGAAGAACATTTAAGAATCTAAGACACCTGTAGATGAGAGGCAATTAAGTTTTTGCTCTCTAGTATTACGCTAACTCTTTCAGGCTATAAGAATCCCATTTTCTAGATTACCTTTTCTAATAGACTTCCCAGTACCCTAGAACCAAGGTTAGTGACATTTCAGGGAGTGATTGGGATGGGAACACCAAAGAGCATTGTTAGAAGCCTAAAAATCAATCAAGAAATCACTCACTTATGAGTTTTCAGGTTCAAAAGACATTTGAGTTCAGCCCGAGCTTGCTGGTAAGAAGCCAGTAAATTGCTCTCTTTTGAGAAGGGTATGATTCTTTTTCCAGGACAATTTGAACTGGTATAGTAAATTACTTTATTTAAAAAAGTAGAACTCCTCAACTAGAGTTCCTTTGAGTAACATTCTAACAGTGAAGTTAATGACCTTCTAGACACCCCCTATCTACCTTCAAAGGGGACCCCTGTATGGACCCTGCCCAGAGTTGATGAGACTCTGAAGAATTTTCTAATAAACTGCCACATTATTCCCTTAAACAGCCAAGGGACTCTTAAATCAAAATTAATGAAAAACCATAGCCTGCAGAAGGCTCTGGGAAAACTGGCAGAAGCCAGCAAAAGTAAGAATTCTTACCAGAGCAAGTTCTCCCAAATCTCTGTCTGTAATGCCCAGTTGTGAGAGGGAAATAAAATTTCACACTGTCCCTCCCTTTCCAAATCCAAACCCATTGTTTATTGATCCTTTCTCTCCTAGGGATAGTTATTGCCTTCTTGCTTGTCTTGTTTTACATCCTAAGTACCTGGACTTGGCTTTCTGCCTGCCTGGGCCATGCAAGTTGTCAGTTCTTTCTTTTGGCTACCTTTGGGAGTGACTCTAGATCTTGCAAAGACAATGTGTTTTGCACCCTTTTGGGAGACACCTCTTGAGTCCAAGAGGTTGTTTAATATTGCCAGAAATAACCATTGCTTGTCCCAGCTGAGACCTGACAAGATATTTAAAAGGGTTTCATAACTTTATAACCAGAATTCTGGCCAAATTGAAAACTGATATTCAGAGGCTGAAAGAAAAAAATTTTGTGACCATCTCCTCTTAGCTAAATGTAACCAGAGAGAAATATTCCAACATAGGTGGGTGGGTGTGTCAGCCCTTTAGCACCCAGGCTACAACCCAGTTCTTTGAGGAACTGAGATCAATTCTCCTTATCTTATAAAACTTTACATAACTAGAAATATAGCTCTAGGAAAGAAAAAGGGAAAAGGGGACTATTATGAAATATGAACTGCTCTAGAAGCACCCTCGCACAAAAACCTAATTCAAGGAAAATATTAAAACAAAAACTATAAGATCTCTGTTTACCTTTGTCTGTATGTTCATTTGTGTCTGTAAACGTGTTGTAGATGTGTGGTATTTTTCTACCTTCAGATGATACTGATAAAATAAATTTGTAAGGAGCTCTATTTAATTGGTTGAACAAATTAAGAGCTTTTATAAATTTAGTATTAAAACTAACTCAAATGCTTTTCAAGTTTACGTGATCTGGGATAAACTTTAGTAAAAAAAAAAAAAGCTAGTTTAACTTTGTTGGTTTAATTAAAGGGGGTATGTTTTTAGAGCTGCCAACATTGAATATAATGCAGGCATACAACTTTTTATTCTACCTGATTTGGAAGTCAAATAAGTTCACGTTATCTCTTACAAAATTTTCTGCCAGAAAAATAACCTAGAAT